ATTTGTAAAGGCATAACACATGAGGAATATGCATGTATTGCATAAATATACTGAATGTTTTTTCTACCCTGATGTACACCGAAATGAACAGTCTAGTGCTGGACTTTCTTAGAAAGCCTAGAATGCTTTTTCCAAACATAGCCATGACTGCACCCTGTTTTCTTAAAAAATAAAGATTTTAGTCAAACATTAAAAAAAAAAAGTTGAGACAAAACCATAAGTTTCTCTTTATAATTTCTGTTACCCATTATGCAACGCTTGGGACATTTTATAGAACACAATAACAGACCTCGTATTACATAACACACCATGCTGCATTGGTGTTAGACACAATAATTATTTACACCCCATGTCTCCAATCTGTAGCAGCGCATGTGTGAACCCCAACTGCTCTTAAAAGCCATGTTTACGACAACACGTGCAACCTCATTTATCTTCCTCCAGCTCTTAAAGTTTTTCTCACCCATGATTAATGATTTATTCTGAAGCAGACACCCAAAAAAATTGGCTTTGCCATCAGCAGAGAGCCTTGTCTCAATTATTATTACAACTTCCTTTCTCTCTGTTTTTTTTTTTTTCTATGCAGAATGTCTTACATGATCGGTAATGGACACCAGATTTGGCAAAACAATTGCTTCACTCTTTTATTAAAGGTCATAGAACTTTGTAGAGAGGTTGTGTAACTAAATATTAAGTCGATGGTTTGAAATCATCTGAAAATGATGTCTCTAGGTTTGCATAAATCACGCTGAACAATCTGAAGATCTGGACGAGCATATGAAAAAAAATCTGCTTTTTTGAAGCGTATTCCCAAGTTGCCCATATTTACTGGGACTCCACCTCTCCCAGCGGATTGTATGTGGAGTCACTGGGCGTGTGCCTTAGAAGTGTAGACATGGATGAATGCGTACATTCGTACAACTTGAACTTAGAAAAACAAGGCGGTTGTTATGTGACCTCTTGTTTTCCTAATGCAGTCCCTATCTCTGTGGGCTTGGCTAATGGGAATGAATAGAAAGCTGTTAATGGATAAAAATAATCGTCTTGGCTCCCAGAGTGGAACTTTACAGCTACTGTATGCGGCCTTTCATAATATACTTAGTTTAACCACTTCAATACCGAGCACTTTTACCCCCTTCCTGTCCAGGCCAATTTTCAGCTTTCAGCGCTGTCGCACTTTGAATGACAATTGCGCAGTCATGCAACATTGTACCCATATGAAATTTTTATCATTTTTTTCACACAAATAGAGCTTTCTTTTGGTGGCATTTAATCACCACCACTGAGTTTTTTATTTTTTTGCTAAATAAAACAAAAAACACCTGAAACGTTTGACTAAAATGCACTTTTCTTGGTTTCTGTTATAAAATTTTTCAAATAAATAAAATTTCTTCATAAATTTAGGTCAAAATGTATTCTGCTACATTTCTTTGGTGAAAATAATAACAATAATAATAATAATAATAATAATTATCGAATTTGTATTTTTTTTCAAATGTTTCTATTATTTTTTTTTTTTTTTTATTAAATTTTTTTCTTTTTTTTACTATTTTTATTTTTCAGCACACTGTGACCAAAACAATACAATGTTACCATAATAACATTGAACTACTCTGGGCAAGTGATTTTTTTTAACACATTATGATTGATAATACCAGTGTATTTCAGCGATATTTGCAATCATTATTACTGAATGAAACTGATTCAATCAGTCTTTTGTTGTGATTAGCTGTGATTGGGCAAAGCTGATCACATGATACAGGTGGGCTTTGATTGGCCCTGTCTGTTTCATGTGACTGCCATGACCAGTCATAGCTAACAACATAATTGCATACAATGGATGTCATGACAGGAAGCCATCCGTTGTATACAATTGACATGTGATCTGCTGTGATTGGTCACAATGGTCAAGTGACACTGGCAAAGGGCCGGTGTAATGATATGTCATTGGCTGTGTCCCATGGACACAGCCGGTTACAGATTGCAAAGCTGCGCAGCCCCACGGTCGAATGAGTGGCTCGTTTTGACAGCACGTTATATGACGCCCAGTCACAACTGCAAGTGTCCCGCCTGGCCGTCAATCTGCTATAGCCCAGGCAGGAAAGTGTTAATGGGACAGCACAGTGGCTAAATGGTGGCACCTCCACCTGACAGCAGCAGGGCCACTGGCTCAAATCCCAACCATGGCACCACCTGCCTGAAATTTCCATGTTCTCTCTGTGCCTGCGTGGGCTTCTTCCAGGCACTCTGGCTTCCTCCCACACTCCAAAGCCATGCTGGTAGGTTAATTGGCTCCTCTCTAAATTGGCCCTTGTATATGAATGTGAGTTAGGGACCTTAGATTGTAAACCCCTTGAGGGTTAGGGACTGATGTGAATGTACAATATATATATATATATATAAAGCACCGTATAAGTACCTGAAATAAATAAATATTAACACCAACATTTGTATGTATCTTATTACAAACTAAAGTACCACTTGCCCTCCTGAGGATTTACACCCCTTCCTGACCAGGCCATTTTTTGCGTTACAGCGCTGTGTTGCTTTAACTGACAATTGCGTGGTCATGCAACACTGCACCCAAATTAAATTTATGTCCTTTTTTTCCCCAGGAATAGAGTTTTCTTTCCGTGGTATTTGATCACCTGTGCATTTTTGATTTTTTTGAGCTATAAAAAAAAAAAGACAATTTTGAGAAAAAACTATATTTTTTTACTTTTTGCTATTAAACATGTCCAGTAAAAAATTTAAAAAAAATAATCGAATTTCATCATAAATTTACACCAAAATGGATTCTGCTCCATGTCTTTGCTGAAACAAAATCCTAATACTTGTAAATTAATTGGTTTATGTGAAATTTATAGTGTTTACAGATGGCGGTATATACACTGGAATTTTTTTTGCATTCTTTATTTTTTACTAGTAATGGCATGGACCAGCGACATATAGCAGGACTACGGGACTGTGGCGGACATTCTGACACTGGGAGGAAATGACTTGGTGTCACTGACATCCCCAGTGACACCAATACAGTGATCAGTGCTAAAAAAAAAGCACTGACACTGTACTAATGTCACTGGGCAGGAAGGGGTTAACATGAGGGGCGATCAAAGGGTTAACTGTGTGCTGGGAGTGTTTTACTAGGGGGCCTTGTCAGTGTACTTCACTGTAATCACACTGCTTTGGATGTCTGGTGCTGTGCACAGCCATCCAGGGCAGTGTGCCCAAGCTGACAGGAGGAGGACTGTTAGTAAACAAAACAGTCCTCCTCCCCATCGGAGCTGTACGGAAATCACTGGGTGTCGCCGAGTAATTAGTGGCCGGGACCCGGTGATTGACAGCTGCGGCCATGAATATCCTACCCAGAAATACAAAATCACATATATATATATACATGATTTTGCGCACCCGTGCCGCCCTGTAGCAGTATTTCTGCTATAGAGCGGACAAGAAGCGGTTAAACCAAAATCACTTACTATTTGTACAAAAATTGTGGAAAAGACACATGTAATTCACAAGATAAGCCCAAAGCAAAACAAAAAATTAGGACGAAGGGCGACCATGACTGGACTAACAGGGGAGGCAGAGCAAACGGTGTTAATGAATGCATAGGGGTGAGAGTGGGCAGATGGTACAAGATGTTACTCACCATGATTGGTGGGACTGGAACCTTAGGAGAAGCTTCCATGGTGGTTTGGTGGGCTGGAGACCTGGTCATGCAGTTGGAAGATGTCGGAAGAAGAGGCTTCCCTCTCATCCACCCTGCTTTTTGGCTTGCTGGTGTTCGGATGTGGTGTGGCTGGGTGGTTGGGATCTTTGAAGGCAGTCTAAATTAACAGTATATCACATAGACGTGCAAAAATAAAAAAAACAGTTTTTTTTTGTTTCGTTATATGAATAATTTAGTTTCGTTTGATTAGTTAAGTTTGTTTAATTAGATTTTCAGAACTCATTTTGTTTATTTGAATTCGACCGAATTCAAAATTTTGAACGGATTAGAAAATAATTCCAACAGATTCGAAAACAATTCCAATAGACTCAAAAACAATTCTCGGATTTGATAATAATTCTAATTTTACAATCCATAATCCACAATCCATATGTGTTTTTGATGGTATATGGGCTATATGAAGAGTTGCGTTACCATATTGGAAATTTCAGCAAAATTTTCACAGTGTCTTTTTTGATCACTACTCACGTCACCATAGCACAGCTCACAATTTTTTTGTGAAGTATTTTAGTCTTTTCTAATCTTATCTCTTCTTTTCTATTACTTTATATTCTATTCTAATGTATTCTGCTTGAATTCAAATTCACTCTATTCAAAATTCGAATTTCAGAAGGCAGTTATATTCTTTCTATTTTATTCTATTCTATTGTTTTTCTATTCTATTCTTTGATTCTCTATTCCAATCTTTTCTATTCAAATCTTTTATTTTCTATTCTATTCTAATATTTTCTATTCTACTCTACTCTATTCTAATTCTCTATTTCGCTCCTTTTTTTTTCTGTTCAATTTTGCTCTGTTTTACTCTATATTTTTCTATTTTATTCTTTGATTTTCTATTTTAATCTTTTCTATTCTATTCTAATTGATTCTTTTCTTTTCTATTCATTGATTTTCTATTCTAATCTTTTCTATTCTATTCTTGATTTTCTGTTCTAATCTTTTCTATTCTAGTCTAATGGCTTCTATTCTTTTCTATTCCTTTATTTTCTATTCTATTTTGTTCTATTTTACTCTATTATTTTCTACTGTATTCTGTTCTGTTCTTTTATTTTCTTTAATGACTAGCATAGTACCACTGGATTGGCAAAAGGGTCAAAATCTTTACCAAGTAATTATACACCTCTTAGTTTAACTTTATAGTTGGGAAGATATTGGAGAGTTTAATAAAAGACCACATAGATGAGTTCTTGCTGGAAAAAAATATTTTAAGCAACAGACGGCATGGAAAAGACAGAAGTTGTCAAACAAATCTGATTTCTTTTTATGAGGAGGTGAGGAAAATTTTGGACAGAGGGGGGGTGGCGGTGGACGTGCTATACTTGGACAGAGGGGTGGCAGTGAACGTGGTATACTTGGGGACAGAGGGGTGGCGGTGGACGTGGTATACTTGGACAGAGGGGTGGTGGTGGACATGGTATACTTGGACAGAGGGGTAGCGGTGGACGTAGTATACTTGAACAGAGGGGTAGTGGTGGACGTGGTATACTTGGATTTTGCAAAAGCGTTTGACACAGTTCCCCACACATGGCTAATGTGTAAGGTAAGTCTACAGGCTTGGAAAAATCTGTATGTAAATGGATAGAAAACTGGCTAAAAGATCGTATTCAGAGAGTAGTGGTTAATGATTCATACTCTGAATGGTCCAGGGTCATCAGTGGGTGTACCTCATTGTTCAGTGTTAGGACCCTTACTTTTTAAATATATATTTATAAACGATATCGGGTCTGAGATTAAAAATCCCATTTCAGTCTTTGCAGATGACACCAAGCTGTGCAGTGGAATAACGTCCTTACAGGATGTCTTCAACTTACAAGCTGACCTCAATGCACTGTGTAATTGGGCAACTATGTGGCTAATGAGGTTTAATGTTGATAAAATATAAGGTTCTGCACTTGGGGGCTAAGGATATGCACACATCATACATACTAGGGGGGGTACAACTGGGGGAATCAATGGTGGAGAAGGATCTGGGGGGTTCTGGTAGATCACAAGCTTAATAATGGCATGCAATGCCAAGCTGCGGTTTCTAAAGCGAGCAAAATCCTCTCTTGTATTAAAAGAGGTATAGACTCCAGAGAGAGAGATATGATATTACCCCGGTACAAATCATTAGTAAGACCTCATCTGGAATATGCAGTTCAGTTTCAGGCACCAATTCACAAAAAGAACATTAGGGAACTGGAGAAAGTACAGAGAAGGGCAACCAAACTGATACGAGGCATGGAGGAGCTCAGCTATGAGGAAAGATTAGAGGAACTGAATTTATTTCTCTTGAGAAGAGGAGATTAAGGGGGATATGATCTCCATGTATAATACATAAGGGGGATATGATCTCCATGTATAATACATAAGGGGGGATATGATCTCCATGTATAATACATAAGGGGGGGTATGGTTCTCCATGTATAATACATAAGGGGGGATATGATCTCCATGTATAATACATAAGGGGGGATATGATCTCCATGTATAATACATAAGGGGGGGATATGATCTCCATGTATAATACATAAGGGGGATATGATCTCCATGTATAAATACATAAGGGGGATATGATCTCCATGTATAATACATAAGGGGGATATGATCTCCATGTATAATACATAAGGGGGATATGATCTCCATGTATAATACATAAGGGGGGGATATGATCTCCATGTATAATACATAAGGGGGGATATGATCTCCATGTATAAATATATCAGTGGTTCATATAGTGAACTCAGTGTAGAGCTATTCACCCTGAGGTCATCACAAAAGACAAGGGGGCACTCTTTATGTCTGGAGGAAAAGAAATTTAATCTCCAAACACAGAAAGGTTTCTTCACAGTGAGAGCTGTGAAAATGTGGAATAGACTCCCTCAAGAGTTGGTTCTGGCCAGCTCAGTGGATTGCTTTAAAAAAAGCCTGGATTGTTTCTTGGATGAACAGAATATAACTGGATACTAACATTTATAGGTAAAGTTGATCCAGGGAATATTCGATTGCCTCTTGGGGAATCAGGAAGGAATTGTTTCCCAGCAGGAGCAAATTGGATCATGCTTTGCTGTTTTTTTTTGCCTTCCTCTGGATCAACTGCAGGTGTAGGATTATAACTTTTTTTTAATAGTTGATATAGATGGACTTTTGTCTTTTTTCAGCCAGACTAACTATGCAAATACTGTATGTAACTATGGATCTCCGAATAACAGAACATTTGTATAAATTTCAATTCGGAACAAAACGAAATGCACATGTCTAATATCTCATACTAAGGACCCATCTAATGTATGGCGTCATTATGGAGAATTTCCAGTTAATGTTGTGTTAACTTGGAGTTTGGATGTGGAAGTATCGGCGGAGAGAGTTGGGTTGTCCCGAGCCGGTCTGTCTTGCGGCTGGGGACCTTTAATGTGGTTTAGTCGTTTGGTGCCTTCAAAGAATCGGCAACTTTATCCTCCTAAATTGTCAATATCTTTCTATTGAAAAAGAATGTTATTTTGGTTGCATGTTTAATAAATAGCCATTACAGTCAATTTTCACCACAATTTGGTGTTAGGCTGATTTATTTTTTAGTAATATAAGTTAAGAGGGGGGGTACCATAGGTAAAAGGGGTACTGTTCGAGTGAGTTGGGGGGACATCTTCTGTTTACCCTAGTCAAGAAAAAAAAAAAACTTACATCACAAAAACCCTAAACTAATAGTTTTAGCTATTGTCAAAATTTTTGTCCCAGAGGAACCTTTAAAATATTGTTCAAATGTTAGGGAACCCTTGCCTAAAGCAAATTAATCGAGGATCGAGGGAAAAATGCCCCTTTACATTGGGGGTCAAAAGAAAGAATGTACCCCCGGACAGTGGTGGTCAGAAAATCATTCCTATAGACAGCTAAAAAGATGTTGTGCCGCTGGCTTAGCCAAATGGCATTGGCCTCAAACATATGCACGTGGGAGGCCAATCAGCCACAGCTCAAGGAACTCATAGCAATTTCAGGAGGAACCCTGGTTGAGAATTAGGGATGAGCCAACAGCTTGGCATCGTAATTGACAATAGAAGTACAACAAGGGATATTTATGAAGGGTTTCTATTTTTTTTAAATAAAAGCTTGTCAAACATTTGGGGGGTGTCTAATTCTAGGTTGCTTTTTTTTTTTTTGGATGGGTTTCCCAATAAGCCACCTGCCAACCAGACCCCCCCACACAACCACTGAGCCAGGGTTGTGAGGAAGAGGCCCTTGTCCTCATCAGCATGGAGTTTTTGCAAGAGGGCCTGGTATGGTTTAGAAAGAGGGAGGTGCATGCTCATCCCACCCTTTCCGGATGTAGAATTTTAGGGGAACCCCACACATGTTTTTTTAGGTGGATCACCCCTTATGCCACATACTCCAATGTCTTGCGGTCCTCGTGGAATTTTTTCTTCTGCGCCCTCACACGCTTCAAACCCCCTAAATCTACAATGGATTTCAAACGGGCCTGGTATGAATATATTTGAGAGAGCTTTATGTATGTTTGTCATTCTTGCTGTAAGGTGTGACCACCAGCAAAACTGATATTTATACAAAAAAAAAAAATACACTTTAAATAAAATCGTCGGCACAATGACATATCATTGCCAGCTCTCCTTTTTTTTTTTTTTTTTTTTTTTAAACACCAACGCACAGCCCCCGTCAAAAGTCCCCTAAAATACATAGTTTGACCAAGAAAGTAAAACAGTCTTTTCTGAACCTTTTTACCCCAAGAAAACTGGGTTATTTACTAAAACTGGAGCTGCAAAATCTGGGGCAGCTCTGCATAGAAACCAATCAGCTTCCAGGTCTTATTGTCAAAGCTTCATTGAACAAGCTGAAGTTAGAAGCTGATTGGCTACATGCACAGCTGCACCGGGTTTTCAGTGCTCCAGTTTTAAACCCCCTTTTTCACACTAGTGCATGTGTGCGGCCCTGTTTGCTCAGACATGGCAGCCCGTTCATCTATTGGCTGCTGTGCCTATGTTTCATGCAGGACAAGGTGCATGCACCTTTTTGCCAAAAGCATCTGGAGGGAAACCAAAATGGTCTTATTCACCACATGGTTTCCGTGTGTTCCCTGCACCCCGGGTGAGATGTGTGGGGTGCCATTTTGAATGAAAGGCATCCCCCTACATCTCGAAAAAGAAAAATGATGCAAATGCAGGGGGTTGTGGTGCAGGAACGCATTGATTTCCGCACCGCAAACCCCCCACATCTGGGGGTTTGTGTGAACCATTATAAAAAAACAATTTCCCTGCCATAGG